GTAAAGGGGTTTTTTTGACACAAATCTGTGCGGCATGGTATCAGAGTGACTTACCCCTCGGTGACACAAAGGTTTAGGTAGTGCCAGGAGATGTTCTGTGAATGTACCACTTGCAGCCTGGGCTCCAGGCAGGCCCTCCAGTAACTGTCTACCCTGTATTCATCATCAGCTCTATGCGCAGGGTACGTAATTTCATTGCCAGTATGTGATGTGGGTAGCCAGTCCTAGACCCACAAAAAGTCACAGCAAGTTGAACCCTAGTTCTTCCCTCTTTCTGTTGCACTAGTTAATAATGTACCCTTAAAGTTAAAATGATTGCTTGAAGGGTGGCAGTCTGAATAACAAACTGGTTTGGATGCTAAATTTGCGAGTTGTTTTCAGAAACTGTAGCGATGAGACGATGTATCTGAGTGTTAAATCTGTTTAAAATACTCCATGTGTCAACAGAGCTAGGTATTGGGAAGCAACATGCCCGCGTCTGCTTGAATGGAGTGCCCGTAGTAGCCCTTGTGGGAGTATTGCTGTAAGAATAACTTTGTTCATTATGATTTAAGGATAGGAAATGATCTCTGGAATGTGTAGAAGGTGCACACAAGTTTATAGTTATTCTTAGCTGTTCTAATGTTGTAGTCCAATATTTAAAAAAAAAAAAATCTCTTTGATTTTCACTTCATCTTGGATACCGTCCCCTCTCCCCTGAATGAAATAATGAGTGTCCTTACATATCTGAACTGTTTTTACAGGAAATAGTTGCAATAAGAGTTGGGTTAAAATTCTGTTTACCTAAGTTGTGCTTTTTTTTTTTTTATTCATTTAACAAACTTTTAATATGTGAAATAACAGTATTTGATATAGGTAGAAGAGCTTCCGATGCATGTGTTTTTGCAGATCCTCAGGTGGAAAACACATACTTCTTTGCTGTGTATATTCATGCAACGAAATACTTTTACAGTAATTTTTTTTAAACTCAAAAGCCGATACTGAGCCTAAAACCACTTTTTTTAACAACTGCATCTTAAAATAACTGCTGTCTTTCTTTACTTCTTCCCATTGCTTCAAAGCTACAGTGTACTGAGCTCAGGTTTTTCAGCTGCATATTAAATGCTATGTTCTCATCTCCTCTATTAATGGAAAGACTGTATACTGAATTTCACGCCGTTTTCTGGGTCACATGAAATGCAGAGGACTGTATGCTGCTTTTTTTTTTTCTTTTTGTTAATTAGTACTGTTATCAGTGTGGTACCGTTGCTTGTATCTGCAAATAGGATGAGTGGAAACATTACAGACTGGACTGAATTCTTTTTGTTAGCGTCTTTGTCTTCCACAAGCAAGAGGTTATATTGATTCATTTAAAGGGGGAGTCTGAAAATTGCTGTGCTAGGAATTGCTGCTCCCTCTCTTTGCTGTTGCTTTCCACAATTTAAATATTTATACTTTACTAGAAAGAACAAATGCTGACAGCAGCAACTTCTGTATTTAATTAAAATCTAGCATTCATTTTACATTTGCCTTCCTCAGGCAACAGATTTCATCCATGGCTGCTTTGTCAGCCGCAGAGAGGGACAGCCGTTCTTCCAGAGCAGGCCAGGGGAATACTTCTATTATGAGCAAGCCCCTTCTACAAAAATGAGTTTGAGTGTGTGCGGTCTTGCAGCAGGGCAGAGCAGTCAGAGCACGCTATTTATATATTTTTCATGCGAGAATCAACTCCCAGAGGAAAGTATATAGTGCGATGTGTCAACTTCTTGATGTTTCCCTAGCAAAATAGTGATGTAGTCACATAGTGTGTGTGTATCTTACTGTGTAGGTATAAAGAAGTCACAAAACCATGCCGACGCGAAAAAGATTCATGTTCTGGTTGTCCAGTATGATTTCGTTTTGATGTTAGGTCTTGATTGCACGTTGAAGTATGTGGTCCTTGACCCTCTTGACGTACATAAACAAACTCGCTCTTAGGTTTCTTGTTCAGTTATTGGTATGTTTATCTGCGTAACCCCTCCCGTAATGTTCTCTCTTTCCCAGGTATCCTTTGCGTGGCTGACCAGTGTCACGGTTTGCGTGAGTTGGCGCTGAACTACCACTTGCTGAGTGACGAGCTTCTGCTTGCTTTGTCTTCTGAAAAACATGTCAGGTTAGAACACTTGCGCATTGATGTTGTCAGTGAAAATCCTGGACAGACTCAGTTCCACACGATTCAGAAGAGCAGCTGGGACGCTTTCATCAAGCATTCTCCTAAAGTAAATTTAGTAATGTACTTTTTCTTGTATGAAGAAGAGTTTGACCCGTTCTTTCGTTACGAAATACCCGTCACTCACCTTTACTTTGGAAGATCGGTAAGCAAAGACGTACTTGGCCGCGTTGGGATGACGTGTCCTCGGTTAGTCGAACTGGTGGTGTGCGCCAATGGATTACGGCCACTGGATGAGGAGCTGATCCGTATTGCAGAACGCTGCAAGTATCTGTCAGCCGTCGGCCTAGGGGAGTGTGAAGTCTCTTGCAGTGCCTTCGTTGAGTTTGTGAAGATGTGCGGCGGTCGTCTCTCTCAGCTCTCTATTATGGAGGAAGTTTTGATTCCTGATCAGAAATACAGCTTAGAGCAGATTCACTGGGAAGTCTCAAAGCATCTTGGTAGAGTCTGGTTCCCGGACATGATGCCCACGTGGTAAAGTCCTTAAAAGACTTCAGGGCAGATGGAATAGCACCTTAAACCCAAGCTTACCATATTGCAATTTACTGTATAAGCTTATTTAATACTATAGGTTTTACTGTAAGTTACTTCACTGTTTGATTATCAGATTAATTTGTCATTCAAAAATTATTTCTGAAATCCAGATTCAAAAATAGAAATCATGGATAGCTCCAAAACCTATTTTCATCCAAACAGAAACCTGTTTTCTGTCTTAGATTTGTTCTTTTTCATTGACAGTGACCTCGAACTCTTACGGGACTAAAAATTGTATTTAAAATATTGGAAAGTACCTGCAAAATACCAGTTTTAATATGCTGCCCTTCTTTGATTTAGGTACTAGTATTGAACACGATCAGATTTGATCTTAAAAAACAAACAAAACCCCAGCAAAAGTGCATGCTTCTGTTGCGGACTGTAGCGTTTCTAAATCCAGTCACCTAGATGACGGGACTAAGAATATAAGGAGTATTTAGAGGCTGTGAGATATACACGCTTTTTAATATAAAAGTCATAAAGGGCAAGAGCCATACACAGTAATGTAGTTTAGACAACGAAAATATGAAGTTACCTTGTTCAACCGATTATTAGATTCATCTAAAATGTATTTAGAGCGCAAACAAACAGTAGTGTGAGCTACCAAAAGTGGTGTGGGTTTTTTTCCCCCCCCCTCTATGCATTTTAACGTAGTTTGCTCATGGGGTCTCGGATCTGTGTCTAAACCTGTTTTAAGGTATTTTATGTCTAGCTCAGGAAGCGAAAGCATTCTGGGGAAAAATGTAGATACATTGTATTTAAAAACACGTTGGAGTTAATGAGCTTTTCATGCCCATTAACTGGTTTTGCAGCATAGGGTTAGATGGAATAATGTACAGTTTATTCAATGAACCCTGCAGTGTTGAATGTGTCGACGTGGATGTGAACAGTGTGAGACAAGAAAGTTTAAAATTTGAGTGATGACCAAGAACCTTCTAACAAAATCTTCGACCTTTTGCTGCTTTCAGTTTGAGAGAAATGACATTGTAACAATTGCTTAAGCTGTATAAACTAATTGTATACTGTAAATCTGTTTCGGAAATGTTTATGTATAAAGTGAATGTTTGATAGATGATCATTTTGTATACCTTTAATTCAGCTAGTTCGATCATTTCGTAATATTTAAAAACCTAAAAGCCGTAAACCTGCGTGAAGTAGAGCAATAGGCAAAAATCTTTTTTGAATATTTGGTAAATTAATTAAAGAAGGTTTTCAGTCTGTAAGTGGCGTAGGCAACGTGTTGCCTGTGATCTGGACATGGCTTGTGACTTCATTTCTTAGCGCCAGCAGTTACGTTATTTTCTCTCTTATGTTACTGATGGCCAACACTAAAGCATTTAAAGCATTCGCGTGACAGCTGAATGCGCTTGGAAGGTGGGGTCAGCCACCTGCAAGGCAGAGCTGCTCCAGCTGGGGGCTCTGCTGGACTGAGCTGGTGGCTGCTCCTCGTTCCAGCTGTACAGCTAGTTCTGGTAACAAGCAGATTTTCTTTTCTGACTTCAGTCATGTTTATCCAAATGTACAGTTTGAGTGGAATATGCTTATGAGCATATTTAAGTTCATAACTATGTTTTGAGCAAGCACTGCTCGGTGGACTGGACATCTTTATAGGGGAGCTGTACGTTTCTGTAAAGCTTTGATTTAAAAATCGCATTTTATGAAATACGCAGGTTTTGTATTAGAATTTGTTAAATTAATGAAATACTATAATTTGCTTTTCTTTGTATAAAAGGTGTCAATACATTTAGTCCGTAAAAGTAAAAAATCTCAGTGTTTTTTATATTCTGACTCTCGGAATTGCCTGCCTGATAAAGGTGGAGTAACGCCACTGATCTGGGGAAGAGGACAAGTTTTCACTCAATTAACGTGTGAAGTAATCTCATCAGTAATGCAGCTAAAACCTCTTTGGACCTTGGCTGCTGACGTGGGCAAGGTAAGCTGGTCTGCTGTGAGAGTGGGAACAACTGAAAGGCAAGAGACAACCTAGATACCCGACGTCCCTCAATGCCGGAATTTGCGTCTTTGAAACCCAGCGCTCTGCTTCTCACAGAGAGAACTCTCTTGGATCCCAAGGCGGGGAACGTGTCAGCAGCTGAAGGCTTTTTCCTTTGTTGCAGTGGAACAGCTTTCCCCAGCAAGGTCTCTTCCGAGGAGGTCTTCATCTTGTTGAACAGACTTCAAAAAGTCCTTCATAGACGTGACACCGTATCGTAATGGTTATCAAAATGTTCAAGGGTTAAAAAAAAAACAACCCCTCCACTTGAAAGCAGTTGTCTCTCTCTTCCACTGAAGGTCAGCAGTTTTTATACATCAAACCAATTGCAGCATTCTTACCTCAAATAATCCAGCTATAACCCAAACTTCCCAGGCAAGGCTATATTCTAAGTAGCTCCAGGAAAGCTACGATGCTCCTTTTTAGCAAATCTTGTACAATTCTTACTTTGCCTTCTACCTGTGTTGGAAAAAGTGAATGCCTAAAAAAAAATTTAAAACTCCACGACAGGAGTAGTAACGAGTACTGTAGACTGTCGTGAAGTTCACCAGCAATGTGAATGCTGGTGTCCTACAGCTGTAAGATACCATTTTCTCCTGAGGTTCACCTTCCTTTCTTGTTTTCAGAAGAAGATAATCCAGTGTTGGCTTGGTTGTCCAGTTGTGGGTTGGAGTCGTTAATGTGGCAAATCTTACCTCTCCGCCCAAGTCCATCGCTTCAGTTTTTGGATATAGAATCACTCTTGGAAGCTGTTGATGCCAAAGAGCTGCGGTGATCCTGGCCAGTTAGACTTGCTTACCGCAGGCTGTATCAGAAGAGAAAAGGTGAGTAATTCAAGAGCAGCTGCTGACGCTATCTTTGTAGTTTCCTGCAATTTACCTAAAACTAAAAACTTCAGCATTTAAGTGGGGGGTTTTTTAGGGATTTTCAGTCAGAAACTTGCCAGTATTACACAAACTGATCTAACTACATAGGTATAAATTGGCTGTATCCCAATCGTTAAAAGTTTGATGTGCGCCAAACTAACCTCCTACAAATTTAAAGTGGGGTTCAGCTGGGCCTCTTTATATCTGGAGTAGGCCTGACTGGAACCTAAACTTTGTTACTTTTCTTCAGAATGATCTATCTTAATCTTTGGCCAATTTAATTGGTCGCACATGAAATTGTAAAAATAGGGGCTGCTGCTGTTATATAAAACATGAGGAAACTTACGTTGTGAAACCTTAAAGGGACTCTGACCTTCAGTGTTCATAGTTCAGACTACAAACTGTAAATTAATTTTCCTAAAATACGGGTGCTGTAGAAACAAGCTCCTTGGAGATAGGATTGAAGTTCAACTAGGCCAGCGAAACCAGAGTCAGCCTTAGATGTTCCCCATACCCAGCCGTTCATCCTTTTTTTGTTAGGGCTTTCTTGTAGGATCACACCCACCGCTGGCTGTTGGTGTTTGTGTGCTTTGAAATGGAGATTGTGGTGTGCTTTCTGTCCTATCTCCCACCCATGCCTTATGCCATGACGGGACATGAGAGGATTCTGGTCATTTTAGCTGGTTTTCCTAGACCGAAAATACGATGTTCTCTGGATGGCTGGTACGGTCTCTCTGCGCTGTCTGATCTTGCTAATTTGCAGTCAGCAGCTGATGGGGGGAGGGTTGTGCTTTAGACTGCAATTTTAGACTCCAGTGTAAGCAGAAGAGCAGGAACCTGCTCTGCTTTTCAAGTCATTCCCTAGCTGTGGTGACTTCAAAACCACAAGAACCGCAATGTCACTGACACCATCCGGGGTTCTGGTGCTGAAGGCAGCAGCCCTCCTGACCCAGAACATCCCCGAGTGGGTTTGTGAGGGGGGAGGCAGAAGGCGTTTGTACCAGCTATTTTCATTGCATGGCCCTTTGGGGAAGAGGAGCCGTGTGCTATATTTGACCTTGACGTATGACAAGCCGGGAACTGCCTTGCTCGAGAACCCTCCTGGAGCCGAGTGTGGGTTACAGCTCTGAGCAGCTCCGTGGTAGGAAAATTAAGCAGCTTTGCACAAGACCACTGTGCACAGACTTGGTAATTTCTGCATTACAGAACAATGGCTTGTTTTTACCCTTGACCGCGGGACGCATCGAAGCAAGGAGCAGATCCACGTGCGGTCTAAAGTGGCCAGTAACTCCTGTATTCAAAGCATGAGTAATGACTCGATGACACATTCACTGGAGACGGGTAGAAGAGAAAGTAGGAGCTCAGCCTTGAGCCCGGCAGTTAGGAGAGCCCTTGGCTCCTGCCGTCAGGCAAGCGCTAATACCAGCTGGCTGCAAGCGAAATGTGAGGTGTGATGCCGTTATTCCTGCTCCCCCGTGTGACTTGCAGCAGGAAGGCGTCCACCTCATGCCTGAGCCGAATAGAAGGGTTTGGGGCACAAACAACAACAGATCAGGTGTACAGAAGCTGTCAGATGCCGCAAACGCTTTTGAAGTGACAGAAGTTCATCTTTATGGATTTATTCCAGGCTCATCTAAGCTTCCCAGAAGTAGCCTACGCATCAGCTCAGTGTCATTTTGTATCTAACCCTGTAGGCCTAACGCAAGGATTCTGGATTCTGCTGACAAGAGCGCACCACACTCGCGAACTTCAGTCTAAATGCCGGTGAAAAGATTTTCAGTGCAGTAATTAGTCAGCTTCCAACAACTGGACCTCTTCCAGCATTGCAGTTGGCGCCAGTGGAGTTCATTTCCACCTGGCTGCGCATTCAGTCTGAACAGTTGGCTTTCAAGGTTCTGAACAAAACCTCGCAAACTGAGGGAAGCAAAGAAAGTGAGGGGCTCTCTCCAACACTTGTGCCCATTAGGAACAAATAAATACCAGCCTCAGAAGGAACTCCTGTACATTAAAAGAGGGCAACCCTTACACTGATGACCAGTACCTTAAACTTGAGGACAGAGTTCCTCTTTCTTCCAAACTGCGAAAGAGACTTGCACGTGGCTGCGCACAGGAATCTTCAAATGATCGTTGGTGTGACCTACAGCCGAATATGCTCACAGGTTCTGTCTCAAATTGCTGCTGCTTTCTGCTTCTGCCTGGAAGGGATGCGGTGTCCTTGACAAATAACTGTCCTGTTATCAGCTCTTGTCACCAGAAATTTGCTGTCCTCTATCTTCCAACTAACATGTGCTAGGATGTAACTGTTTCTCCATGAAGGAACTCCCTGTGCCATCCAGAGCATGAGGGTTGGAGAAAAACATGCTAAATTAAGCAGATTGGGAAAAGGGAGAAGGGCTGTAATTTAGGTACAAGAAGCCTGGGATATTATGAACTGATAGAACCCTTAAGTTACATTTGACCATAACATGAAAAATTATTACTTCTTTCATATAGACAGCCACTGTTTTTGGTCAAGTTCTTAAATAATCATGAAGGTTTTACCTCTGCAACCAGTCAGCTATGGCAAGTTGTTGTATAATCTCTCCTGATGCTACTGGTCCGCAAGCACCCATCTTTTTTCATTGTTAGGAGCTGCACAAGGCAGCTTTGACATGTGGGATTCAGCTACCGTTGCCTGTGTATTTCAGGGTTTGGCACTTCCAGTTCAGTGAGGCTCTTCTACGTATCACAAGATACTCCCAACAATTAGGAGAAAATAATGACTTTGGTGCACAGGCTCCTTCGGTCCCATATGGAGACAAGGAAGTACCGTACAGCGAACCAACAGCACTGTCAGGCTGAGCCAAGACCTCTATGCTACTGTGAGGGAGCATGACCTACCCCACCGTGGCATCTGCTGCAGGCTCTGAAGGGTCTCTCTAGCTGCATCAATGCCACAAGATTTTTAGCAAATGCTAGCAAAGAAGCTTTTGGGGCTTCTACTGCCTTGGTTCCATGGTCCTATTTCCCCTTCAGAGCTTCGGACACTGGTTGTGAGGCTGAGGCTTTTTCCCCGAGAAGATAAACATGGGCTCAACAACGCTGAGGGTTTCAAAGTCCTAAAACCATGGAGTAGCAAGAATGTACCTTCTGTAGACAGGCTTGCTGCACCCCATTATCCTCCCTAGAGCCTCCTGGATTGCCTTCTTGGTGGGTAATCTAAAGAATCTGAAGCTCAGCTGGTTAAAGCAAGGGCTTGTGACTTTGGCTGCAAAAAGTCATAAATCGAGGTAGAAGACGAAGTTTCATGTAACAGTGGAACTCATTAGCAGCTTTCCCCTGCAGAAGGGAGGTGCTCGCATCACCTCGTTCTTCTCATACTAGCTCTCGTGCTCATCCCATTACATGATCACACAACTCAAGGAATTCAAGTAATAACCTCTGCAGGACTCACTCTGTGAACAGTTTAAAAATACCAAAGCGAGCATTGTACACTTGGAGGTGCTGCTGCTGCCACAGGTGTATATTTTTTGTGTATTCTGCCCTCCAGAAAGCCGATCTTCTCTGGGCTTTGGTCAGTTGGGTTTAAAGGGAACCAGCTGCCAAGCTGCTCTAGGCCCAGCCTGGAACAGGACTTAAGGACGCGGCAGCTGGCACAGCACCATTACTGCAAGGGTCACTGCCAGTAAGAGGCTGCAAATGCTTTTTACAGGCAAATCTATGACAAGCGCTGATTTTTAACTGTGACTTTCACACCCCACAAACTGTCATTGCTCCTTTCATACTAAGGATTCCATGCTTTTTAAAGAAATGTAAAAGTTCCATTGAAGTCATGTTGAGATTCCTGACCTAATTGAAGCCTCAAGTTGACCTTAAGACAGGAGACTGCTCGAACACTGTGGTTATGCATCAACGTTGACATCAAACCAGGCTGTTTGCCTTCTATCTGCTAGAAAACTCACACACAAACCTTAGAAAGAGCCATCTGTATTGTGTTTACAGTGCAGGCGAAGGAAGCAACGTGGTGCCAAGGTACCACCCACCCCATCTTCTGATTGATAGAGTCACTGCCCCTTCCCACCCCGCTGGACCAGAGAACAGGTCATAGGTCCCAGTTGTACAAATGAAAGGAATACAGAAACAGCTGTCTAAGGCACACGTTGAGGGAACTGGACAGATCTAGGCACTCAAGTTTTGTTAGCTCTGACACACGGATTAGCCGGGTTGGTCAGAACAGAAGGTCCTTGTAATGCTTGCGTCCCATCTCGGTTGGTGGCCAAGTCAGAGATGCTGAAGCTTTCATGAATGTATTTTGCAGGTAAATAAGAAGAAAAAAAAAAAAAAGGCATAGTCTTTCACGTGGTCTACAAAAGCCTTCCCAGCACAACTTTTACAGTTAGCAGTGAAACACACAACAGTTTAATACCATCGTGGTAGCGCTCCAAAATCCTTAAGGATATTCTGGCATAAGGGCAAGTTCGGCTCTTCAGTAAGCAATTAGACACCAAAGGATGTTTTGCTTCCACTAGGTAAAGGGACCTCTTCATAAATTATTTTGAGATAAGGGAATTTCATAGGTAAAAACCAGTATTCCAAGTTGTAGAAGAGGTAAAACTGACCATTCAAGATGACACGATCGATTATTTTTACCAGATCCACAAAAAACTCGATGACTGTCCGATGAGGTTTGAATGGATAGTAGAAGTCTCTTATAGCTGCTGCCAATGTCTTGTTTCCTAGAGGTCCAAAAATAGATGTTTCATTTCCCAAATAAATAGGTTCTCCACTGAACAAAATTATGCTGGTATAGTTTGTTTGTATCTTCTTGAATACGGCTCCTAAGTCAGCTAGCTTCTGGTATGTTCTCAGTATAAATTTAGAGCATTCGTAAGAGTCAAACCATACTACTGATTGTTTGTCGGGACTTGCTTGAACTGTCCAGGTCTCGTAGTAAATGCCAGTCTCGTTGTCGTATTTTACCCATTTCGCCATTTCATTAAACATGGTTCCTGTAAAAGATCAAAATAAGAGACAGGGTAACAAATACGTGACTCAAAATATTTTCCATCTATCTCGAGGTTTGGCTCCCCTCCCTGCAGCAGTTTACCTACAACATTACCTTGCCATACAGAAACACAAGACTTTGGCTGGAGGGAGAAGTAAGTTATTTAAACTGTAATTCCTTTTTTCAGCCCCATTTCCTGCTACTATGCCAGAACATCCCAGCATCAGAGAACCACAACACTTCTCATTTTGTTTTCTCCACGCAGACAAACAGCGCAGGTAGTACAACCTACAAGAGATGCTGACAAAAGCGCTCACCAGTGCAACAGGCATTTCTGCACTTCCTCAAGTTTTAACTAAATTCAGCAATTCGGGGCAGAAGTTTTCACGTCTCCCCACAAAAGAAGCCTGTGTAGCCTTAAGACTGAGACACCCTGCTGTTTTAGCAGCTCCTCAGCCAGCAAAGTTAAACTAAGCCAAACGGTATGTGAAGACCAGTAAACTTAAAGACCTTGTGGATTATTTTTTTAGTCAGAATACGTGTTTGGAGTGTTTTGGTGATTTCACAACTGGAACAAGGAAGACATCTCTAACTCAGCTCCTCTGTCCGGTAGCTCCTCACTTGTGATGCATCCACCTCCCCAAAACAGAGCTGAAGCACACAGATAATATTTTGGTTTTTCCCCTGTAGTCCTGGCGCTGCACTTCAGCCTAGCCCTTCTCACCCTCTCTTTCCTCAGCCACAGCACAGGGTACAACCATCTCTAACTCAGAGCTGTCTAGCACCTCACAGTTGTAGCATGGCCAGATTTTGCAGATTCTTCCTGTGCAATACATCGGAAGACACAGTCAGAGGACAGCTTGCAATCACGATGGTGTTCCAAGCCAGGATGTCTCTTGAGCTGCAAGCGTCGCTGCTGTGGGTACACTAACTGTGCTTGCTAGCTGCTGAAAGATAGGCAAGACTGTTGCAAGCCGAGAGACTGGCAGCAGTTACCTCGCAGTCCAGGGGTGGCAGACGTCAGACAGAACTGCCTCGCTAACACCGCCCTGCACGCAACAACCAGCCTCTCGCATTAAGTCGGAGTTCACTGCAACGTTACGTTCATCAAGACCACAGAAGAGCACTGCACGCCACACACCTCCCTCCAAAACAAGCTGCAAAGTTCCGATTGATGGGGCTACTCTTCATCACACATCTCTCACCCCAAGGTGAAGCACGTGTGCAAGGCACTACCTCAGAGCAACCAAAACTCTGCACGTGCACCTCCTTGGCTACCCCATTTTAACTGTTCTTCACACTTAAGAGCTTTTGGGCTTCACAGTAAACATTAGCAACCATTCTGTTCAGTGAAAGTGTTGGATTCTTTCTTTTTTAATTGCCCGTGACTTGGTTCAAGAAAACAGCAAGTCATTAAATCTGTCTCAAGGACTGTACTCACTATACACTGGGCCTGAAGCTCCCCTTTATTCTCTTCTAATTCGTACCAGATTAGCTTCCTAGTGTGTATTCTGCAAGGCATGTTACTGAAAAGGACTTCTCTCTCTTAACAAGACCAAGATGGAATTAATACGCAGTTCTGGCCTTGACATCTTAAATGAAACAAAAATATTACAGGTTAATGCACAGCTCTGTGATTATCTGTTGGAAGATGCCTAGGCAGTAAAAAAAAAAATCAGACTTTGGATATTCCTGCCCTATTTCCACAAAAGAAACATGCCCCTAAGTAACATTAACCTGGCCGATGGGCTTTAAAAGAAAGTGAGACGATTGCTTCAGTGTGGTCTCTGACACTGCTGACAAACAGGTCCATAGGGATCTCGCAAGGGAGCAGAGGGTCCAGCTGTTTCACACATTAAAGCCCCCTCCCACAAGGCGGGAGGCTTTCTGCCTGCTCTCTGAAGGAAGCAAGTTCAGCTCATCACGCTGTCTATCTGTGCTGGCATCCATTCACCCTCTTCTATGGTAACTTTCAGATTCCTGGTAAATTCAGGCAATTCAGAACTTTCGGGAGAGGCTACCATCCTAAAAATTTCGTGGAAACAGGAATGGAGAATGACAAGGATGACCATACCAAGTGCCTCCACGAGGCACCAGCATACCCTCACCTTTCTTAGGCATCAAGTAATCCACACAGGCAGGAAGCATTGCAAGTTCCACAACTGCATGAAAATATTTAACTTGGTATTCATACAAAAGAACCCAACAGTATCAGGCATCAGAGACCTCAGTCACAAGCTACAGACTCACAGGAAAGCAGCTCCGCTTATTTCATTGCTTAAAGAACAGGCCGGAATTTCTGAGCAGCGCTGGATGGATCATCTAGCGACCGAGTCCAGCAAAGCTGCCAAAGGCGGAAGCGGCTAAACGTAAAGCAGCACATCACACTAGCTGTAATCCTTCTCTCCACTGTGCCTTGTACGCCGTGCTAACTTCGGAGAGATAAGTGGGTTTGGTCACACAAAATGCAACTCCCCAAGTCCTCAGGGGACTTTGTGCATAAGTCATTCACTGTGTTACAGTAATCAACCAGATTTACTTAAATGACCTTTTTATTTTAGAATATCAGTGTTCAGTATATACCAGGAAGCTATTCTGGTGATCATCCACGTATTCAGAGGTGTAAACCCTGGTTTTGTTCTATGACATAGGACAGAGACCCATTACTGGGGACATCTGCACAGTTTTTATGGCACATCATGGGGGAGATGGAAACAAGAGATTAATCTTTTTTATATTTTTGAGACTGTTTCTAAATATGCCTTATTTGTTTGCTCAGTAATGTATACATTTTCACCAGTTTTTCTATCTCAGCAGTCCTCTGCCACCTCACAATAGGCGGCTTTGTTTCGGTGAAGCCACGTGAAGAGAGTCCATAATGGTTCTGTATAAGCTGTTTTGCTATTTTTGCACTCAAGAGACTCAAGTGTTTTTGTACAGCCACACCAAATGACTCTCATTTAACAGCTCTTCAGTGTGCCGTGTTCAAAAGGCAGCAGCCTCACACTGCTTTATTAAGGAAAGCGCAGAGACAGTATTTCAGTTTGAAATTAGCATCAGCGACTAACATTGCGAATAACCTACAAAACGTAAAGATACTGCTTTACATGAAGATGAGGCCAACTCTATATTTTGTATTAGCACCACCCAAAGCATCTGAAATCTACCTGATATTGTGGTCACGAGAACTAAAGTTCCATTTTCCTTCCAGTGTGCATCATCTATTCCTTCATAAAAGCAGGCAGCTCCCTGGTTACACCAGAATGGTGCGTCCATGCCAGGCCGGAGATGCGGAAATGTGCAGTTCCCAAGCTGGAAGAGCTCATACCACTCCATTGTGTAGTTTTTGCCCGTCAGAGAGCTCTTGAAACCCACAGCATCGTGCATAATTTTCTGGAAAAGCAAAAAAAAAAAAAAAAAAAAAAAAAAAAAAAAAAAAAAAAAAAGCCCCCAAAGCCAAAATTTTAACATACAACCGACTTCAGCTTGACCTGTACAGAAGACGAGATGCTTGGGAGCTGTTGTGTAACAGGGTGAGAAGAGGGGAAGGGGTTCCTGTAACATCTTGGATTCAGTGGCATTGATGCGCAACATACTAGATTGTATCACGCACACACTTCTATCACAGAGTCACACTGTCTCAGTGCTTGTCTATCCATCCACTGTAAATTCTGTTATTTGGAGGCAGATACTCCGTGGGAGCTCACCATCAAAACTCAAGCTTGCTTTTGAATCCTTAACCTCACAGGGGTATCAAAGAAATAAAGAGCAGAACTGAGTTACCAAAACCAGATCTTACTAGTGGGAGCCACAAAAGGACTGAGATAAATGTTTATTTAAAAGCTGTCTAGTAAATACATAAATTCAACTGTAGTTTAACAACCAAGATGACAATACTTGAAGCTATTTCCATTTTTGACTCTGCGTGCTTGGTTTTGATGTTGCTGTTTTATCCTCACTAGTGTTTCTTTATTCATTAGGGATCATGCTTTGAAGCTTAATTATGCTACCGCCATAGCTATAAATACCACTAGAGTTGAGATTCCTTCATATTTGCATGACTCCACGAATTGAGACTTTAATTCAATACTGACAGAAACACCCAAGACAGAACCATAAAAGCAACCAACCATTCTGACCAGCTAGCTGGCCACTTCTGACAGATACCCGTGCTCATTCAAATACATGTTTTTAACAACAGAAAAGTTAATGCACTAAGCAAGCATTTCATCTGACATAAGGGGACAAATAAATGCATTTCCTTGACGCAGTGCTAGTGCAGAAAAGAAGACACCCAAATGTAACAATGTGCGTATACAAAACACCCCCAACATGCAGCTCCGGGGGGGGGAACGCATTCAAACCCACCGACAGCACCGCTCATGCTCTTTTCTTTAGCTGAGCTAAATTCTGTAACTTTTGTTTGAAACTTACTGCTCTCTGGGTATCTCTCCTATAGATAGCCTAGCCTGTGTGCTCCAATACTCTTCCGTACAAGCATATCCCAGCCTTACAGCTCCCACTCTTGACACCTGCTGTTAAATTCCGCTGAATTTGCCGCTACAACTTCGTCAAACAAAAATATCGCCTTACCAAATGTCCTAGTAGGTCCCCGTATTTGAATTCCCATACTGGAGCCTGTAATCGATACACTTCAATGACATCCTCTTCTTTCATAACTGGAATGGCAGAGCCAGTGGGACAGAAGGTGTAACGAGCTTGGCAGTAGGGATCAGTTTTTGGACGGTAATCAAAGCGCCTGTGTTGAGAAAGAGAAGCGCACAGAACGATAAGCACCTCTTCATGGCTGGAGTAACTGTCTTGTGGCTTCCCAAGAGCCTGAGTGGGAGAGCTCAGGTGTGCAGATTCTGCGATCCAGACGCTGCAACACTTGGAGTACGCAAGTTTGTAAAAACTTTCTGACGAGTCTTCCTTTCCCAATTCCCTCCAAATTCATTCACTGTATTTCAATTAAAACAAGGTTCCTATGTTCCTGTTACCAAGACAGACTGGCGTACAGAGCTTGCCCAGAGCACAGCCTGAGAGTCTAACACGCTCACTTGCCCAACGGCACAAATACCCCAGCCATGGGATGACGCAAGGACACAGGACTTCCTGAGCTATAGCAAGGCCAGTAACCCTGCTGAGACACCACTGATTTTCCCTGTGGACTTCTCCAAGCTTGCTGGGTACCTCAGCACGTCTGCCTTTATTTTGTCCAGGGGCAAAAAAGAACACACAGTTAGAACACGAAGACTTTTGCGGCCTTTCAGTACCTAAAGGGGGCCTATAGGAAAGATGGGGAAAATCTTTTTAGTAGGGCCAGCAGTGACAAGACAAGGGGTAATGGTTTTAAACTAAACCAGGGTAGGTTTAGACTAGATATAAGGAAGAAGTTGAACAGGTTGCCCAGAGAGGTAGTGGAGGCCCCATCCCTGGAAACATTCAAGACCAGGTTGGACAGGGCTCTGAGCAGCCTGATCTAGTTAGCGGTGTCCCTGCTCCTGTGGGGGGGTTGGACTAGATGACCTCTAGGGGTCCCTTCCAACCCAAAACATTCTATGATTCTATGACTTATGCCAGCCACACATTTAAGTCCTGTTTCTAAATTACACACCTTAAATTTTGAATTGCCCTTCTCACTGCACCTTGCACGTGACAAGATGGTAACAAGCATGTTAAGAAGCATTAAATACCACATCTGCGCGTCTCACACCGACAGGCTTCTACTCTAATTTTGACCATCCCGAGACCCAGCCTTGCCACTGCTGAACTTGCTGGAAAACCCAAACAACTCGTGACTGCAAGACTGGCTCCATCAGGCACCACCTGATACAAATTTAACTACTAGGAATTACACAACAGGCTTTGAAAACTTCAGGCATGCATCAGACGATTGCAGTTAAACTATAACGCCTCCCTTTACAAACAGCAAGCCCTCATAAAATACACGTGCAGGCGTCGCCCTTCTCCCGAGGGGGCTCGTCTCCTCAGCGTAGCCAAATCCGTAGCTGCTTGCTTCAGCACAATGCAGTAACGTGCACCCTTCTGCTTTCCCCGACAGCGCGGGGCCGCCTTCTGGAGCCAAGGCAGCTCCTGAGGAGCGAACGGGATTTTATACCATTTCATTTATGGTGAGCAGAAGTAGGAAGCGAAGTTAAATGTAAAAAAAAATTAAAATGAACCGTAGCCTGACTTCCTCATCGCAACTTTTCCCTAGAACGGGAGTTAAAGGAGCATCTTCAAAGGAAGGGCAGCGGCAATCCCGCCGCTGACAGGGCGAGCGCAGCGCTAGGCCAGGGGCAGGACACCCCTTCCCTTACACTTGTGAGCTACATACACCAGACAGATAGCGTGCGTATGACAAATAGCCCCGTGACTAAAAAGGGGAAACTATTCATGGCCTTCTTCAGTCCAAAAATTAAACCAGCGAACGCAACAAGGGGAAAGCTGAGGGGCCGGGGAGGAGGAGGCGGGGGCGGTCAGGGGCAGGCAGCC